AAAAGGCCAAGAAAAAGAGAGGGAAAAGCCAGAAGCCAGATTGTGTCCTCAATGATGGAAGAGTGTCGAGAGGAGAAAGGGAAGCAAGCCAAGCAGAAGTCCCTGGGCCCAGAGGCAGCTCGGGGGTTCTTGTAACGCAGTTCGTGTTGGGAGAGAGTGAGGGGACCTGATTCTTTCCAGCAAAAATAAGGAACAGGGGAGACAAAAAAAGGAAGAACCCTGGGGATGTGGAAGTCAGCTGGATTGGAACTGCTCTGAAGTGGAGGTTATGGGGCTGGTCCCTTGCCGCTCCTAAAAGTCTCCAGCTAACAGAGCCCCCTCCATCCACCCTGGGTGTTGCAGAAGAAGGTATGGAGGTCGCCCTACCCTCAGGAGGCTCACAGCCCAGTGAGGGGGCCTGGCTGAGAAACTAACCAAGTTAGAGCTGCAGGAGAGAGGCGGGTGGAGAGCAAAGCGGGGAGGGACCATCGCTGACACTTGTTTAAACTTTAAAACAAGAGTTAGCAGGGTAGGGAGACCCGCGTTGAGAAGGGTCAGCTTCGGGAAGACAGGCGATGTGTGTTGGTCATCTCCAAAATTCCTGTGCTGGGCAGAAACTTTAGAATAGACTACACCTCAAGAAATGGTGCATGGAACAGTCAAGTTCCTTATAGCTTCACATCAACCGTGGAGACCCAGGCCCCCTAACTTGTTGCTTCCTTAGAAACCTTCTAGCAACCTTAACAGGGACTCACCATCCCTACTATTCTTACTAATGCTTGGGAGAAGTACGAATAATAGGGATAAAACTGCCCAACACCCAGAGCTCTTGTTGGCTCTGACCAATGATCAAACTATTCATATTCCATTCTCACTGCGAGTGTGAGGAGAGGAAGTCAGGTGGTGCCCTACAAACAGGCGTCAGAAGTGGTCACTCGCAGTGAATCCTATGAGTCCAGGTGAGCATCCTACTGCGTCTCTGGAGGAAACTGTTACATTGGTAGACCTTAGCGAGCTGCCACCTGGTATTCACTCTTGTGTCGTCCTGTAGTCCCCTCACCTTGATTCTAGAATGATGCCATGGCCAGCTTTAATCAATAAGATGTGGTGAAAGTGACGCCGTGGTAATTCCAGTCCCCCCAACCTAGAAACTAGGCAAGTTTTGCACTCTGGGGATTCCTGAGACACCATATAGGAAATTCAACTAATTCAGCTACCCTGCTGCAAAAATAAAATAAAATAACAAGGAGAGGCCATGCAGAAAGGGAGAGTCCTGAGATTACGTATAGAGAGAGAGAGAGAGAGAGAGAGAAGCCAAAATGTCCCAGCTGAGCCCATTCTCCAGTCACTTCACTGGCTGGATGCAGCCACACAAGCAACCATCAACAAGACCAGCGGAAGAACCACTCAGCTAATCCCAGCCAGAGTGCAGAATGTGAGCAAACAAAACAGTTTTTATTAGTTGATCACTTTTGTAATGCTTTATTATAAAACAGTAGGTACCTGGAACACCTGGTCTATGTGCTTGGCTCTTATTTCCCTAGGATAAATATCTGCCCATTTTGCTTAGGAATTAAGAAATTTCCAGGACACAGGACTCTTAGTGCTAACACTGGGAAAGTTCTGAGAAAATTTGGATGAGTCCTACTTATAAAACTCCAAGTAAACAGAGGTTTATTTCAGAGAGATTTAAAAAAAAAAACCACCTCTTGGTCAACATTCAATGGAAAAGGCTATGCTCAGAAACCAGGAATTTGAGTCACCTCCCTCAAACAGGGGCCTTTGGAGCTGAAATTGTTATACTGAGTGTCAACTCGATTAAATTGAAGGATACAAAGTATTGATCCTGGGTGTGTCTGTGAGGGTGTTGCGGAAGGAGATTAACATTTGAGTCAGTAGGCTCAGAAAGGCAGACCCACCCTTAATCTGGGTGGGCACAATCTAATCAGCTGCCAGCTTGGCTAGAATAGAAGTGGGCAGAAAAATGTGAAAAGAGAGACTGGCCAGATCTCCCAGCCTACATCTTTCTCCGGTGCTGGATGCTTCCTGCCCTCGAACATCAGACTCCAAGTTCTTGAGTTTTGAAACTCAGACTGGCTCTCCTTGCTTCTCAACCTGCAGACAGCCTATTGTGGGACCTTGTAATAGTGTGAGTTAATACTTTAAAACTCATATATATATACACACACACACACACATTTATATATCTCCTACATATATATATCTATACATACGCACACATATATACACACATTATATATATACACACACATAATATATATACACACATTTTATATATATATATATATATATTTTTTTTTCGTCAGTTCTGTCCTTCTAGAGAACCCTGACTAATACAGGGTTCAGAATCTTAGCTCTACCTCGGGATCTTGACTATGAGGATACAAGTCTCAGAATGCTGGAATACACCAGAAGTGTTCTAGACAATATCAGTCCATTGCCACTCTTGCACTGTGAGCCCCAGAGCCATCTGCACTGGTTTTAGATACAGCTGCCTCTGCAGACATCACTGCCCTCTCTCTGTCAGGCAAGGGACGGGAGTTCCGAGTACCAGACTTACTTTTTCTCTGCTTCCTTAGAGCTCAAGCCCTCAGCCTCCAAAGTATCAGCTTTTGTCTGTCCTGTAGTTATTCCCACCCCACCCACCCACATTTTTGGAACTCAATAAATATATTTTAAAATAAAATTGCAAACGGTTAATTTTCCTTATTATTCAGATGCCCAAATCTAGTTCTGTAATGTGGGTGGAAAAGGGAGGCTTGTCATTTCTTGATAATTCTACTTGGAATACACGCTGAGCATATTAAAACGTTGTTACGTGCAAACTGTCATCAAAACATTTCACTCCAACAGAAAGGTAAATTGGTGTCCACTTTCAGGTTGCCAGGTGACTCATTCTAGCCATTCTGGAATATTGACTAAGCACTTTAGCTGGTATTTAGTGGCTGTTCTGTAAATATTTGTTGGAAAATGAATGTATGCATGAGACTAGCTCATGAGCATCCATCATGCAAGACATGATGATGTCTGGCATGCTAGAGGGGAGGGGTGCCCACTCCTTAAGAACCCTGAGCTAGGATTCATGAATTCTTCCCCAACATCTCTTTAGAAAGCTAAACCTGGCATGTTGGATTTGCAAAGATGCATAGAGCAGATGAATCTACTTTGCCAAATCTGATAATGCGGGTAAAAGAGACCCCTAAAACATGTGCCAATGTGTAGCTTTGTAGATCTTTATTTATTTCCATTCTTCAATAATGTTGCTGAAACAGAGGTTGTGGGGGAGTGAAGGTCCCAACTACAATGACTTGAAACGTTGTTATTCCATTCAGCAGAGTCTTTCTTCACATAAAATGTTATGTAAAACCCAAATATATTAATCAGATGGGCCTCTCTGGTTGCAGAAAGCGTTGGGCTCCCAGAACCCCACCCATTAGGCCACTGTTTACTCCCCACACTCTCTAAGGGCCCTCTGCAGAACTGCAGCACTGCCCTGCCAAAGGAGGGGGGTCTACAGGACAAGATGATCTCAGCGGAACCATTCGACTCCAAAGTGATAGGACCATGATTTCATGCATACTTCCTTCATTCTCCAACCATAGGACATGCCCACAATTTCTTGATGGCTTGTACTTCTTCCTAGTATTGGCTATCCATTTTTCTCTCCCTTCAGTCAAGGAAAATTATGATCCATCCAATCCTTATAGATTTACTGTTAATGAAAAGGAACCACAATTCTTTCTAATTTTGGGGACACACTTAGGCATCAAATTATATTCAATATTTACTTAGGTAGGGTTCACAAAAAGTATCACGACACCAACTCCAGATTTTCATCCATGCAAGGCAGAATTCCTGAGTCAATGTTCACTTCTGATTCACCTTTCTTCCTTCTAACTTGCACTTCAAATTGGCTGATAAATCAAAATGTGCAAAATGTGAATTATGACAGGTACTGATAATGGATGGAATAGGCCCAAAATTACTACTGTATTATCACAGAACTCATTTTCCACATGTTTTAATGGCACAGAAGTTTATCTCTCCTATCTTTATATCTTGGCAGTCCAATTTAGAGTCTTAGGGAATTCTAGGACTTTGCTAACACTCATAAGAATTATAATATAACACCATATATAATGTGATTTATATGCTAAAACATATTCCAATTAGCTACAAGTTTTTTCTAATTATTGGGTTCTTTGTGTCATTGTATAGATAATCGAAGAGATTCCATTTAAACATTCGCAGGAACCTAATTGAAATTGGGGTCTCAAATTATGACTACTTGTTATACTTACCTTTTTGTTCAAAGAATCAAGTAACTTTTATTTTCTCTCACAAA